GGAGGACGCATACGAAAGGAAAAATTTTAAGTACAAAGACCGTCTGAAGAATTGTCAGAAGTGGGTTCAAGAGGATTCGTGGGGCAGTCTATATGGAGGGCTTTTTCATTGGCATAACGGGATCAGAGAGAATGAGATTGATAGGGAGCCTGTGCAGGGAGGCGGAATCAACGTCCATTTGGTTGTTTAGAAGAAGAGCAGAGAAGTGGAAAGACAATGAACAGTAGTGAGATGGACAGTAAAATAGAACAGCAGTGCTGTCAATAAACAATAGTGAGATAGAACTGCAGTGATGTAGATCCAAGTGGTTCCAGGCTGGGACCTGAACAACCGAGTCGGCACACCTGTGGGGGTTGTAGCTGACAGCACCGAAACAGTCGATGAAAGAGGATCCACCTGAGGATGAAACCACGATTCTTTCCATCAAAATGTATACAAGAAACAGTAAAAAAAAATGTCGCATAATCTACAGTACGTCCAATGTGAATCTTCATTTTCTTTTTTACCATATATTTCTTGAAAAGCTAGTTTTGTTTAAAAATATATTGGGGGTTCCATTTTACTCCAGGTTAGCAAAGTCTTTCATCAGATCACTAAGTATAGGATTTTAAATCCTAAAGTTACAATTTGTAACTTCAAAACACCACTATTTCATGACGCAACAAAACAAAAAAAAAACCTATGAACGAACTTTCGTTTCTGGCATTTTAGCACGTTTTTTTCAAACCTTATTTTATGGTAAACTAATGTGAAAATTCCATGCATAAAAATGGTTTAACAACTTCAATTCATAATATCCTCATCATATTGACACAAGTATAAATCACTTATCAAATACATGTATTTTGAAAAATGGCAACAAACTTTAATAATTTTCATATTATTTTGCAGATTCTCATATTTTATTTCATTTAATTCATTCAAGCAAATGGTGTTCGACGCAGTGATTAGAGCATTTGAACATTTGCTCTGGAGTCACGGAGTAAGGAATAGATCCTAACTTCGCGGGTTCGAATTCCACCAGTACTTCAGGAAGAGACCTTTAAACTGAGGTCCCGTGTCGCTGTATGTGCAATAAGTGATCCTTTTCACTGTGATTGTGAGCACAGGCACCTGAATTTTTATCAATCAGACGCTCAATAAGCCTATAGAGGGGTAGAATTTTTTTTTCGATATTTAGCTTATTGAGTGTCTGTTTGATAAAAATTCAGGTGCCTGTGCTGTGAGCTGAAAGCTAGGCTTTGTCAGATTTCTGAAATCAAACAAGGATGTTTTGTACCCTCGCCAACATCCAGAATGTGCTTCTCTTGGCGATTTGAGAGGAACACGAATAATCAATCTATCAGTTTCAAACATGAGGGGTTGTCCCAATGACATTAATACTGTTTATTAAACTGACACCGAGATCAAATTAAAAACAACATCCTTAAGCTTGACCTTACCAGTCTGAGGAACAATTTTTTTATGTATACTCTGTACATATTTTTTGATCCAGGTTTTATTGATTAATATTTTTTGTCAATTTTGTAACAAGTAATAATATATAACTATATGCACTTGTTTTTGAGTTGTTTTAAAAGTAACTATAATATTCACTTGTTTTGGGAGAATATTATGATAATCGTTAGGCCTAATGTCTTTACAGTGTGTAAACAAGAGGCCCAAGGGCCTTGAATCACTCTTCTGATAAATTGTACAATCTATCACTTCTGTTTGAAGCCCCTAACTCTAAGTCTTATGATGCATGAACTGACAAAGTTTGTTGAATCTTAGCCAGTTAGGGATGAAGATATTTCGGTATAGCTATAAAATACCATAAGTAGGCCACGGTGATCTACTTTTTGACTTGAAATTTTCTGAGGACTTGAGATGCATTAATTGACAAAGATTGAAAATTCTAAACCAATAAGTGCCCGAGATATTCAAAAGTAGGTCGCTGTGACCTACTTTATGATTAACATTCTCCGTATAGCCAAGTTGCATCAACTGACAAAGTTTGATGATTCTAAGCAAATAAGTACCTGAGATACTTAAATATAGCCATAAAATGTCAAAAGTAGGTCACTGTGACCTAATTTTTGGTTCACATTTTTTGAAGACCTAAAATGCATCAACTGACAAAGTTTGATGATCATAGGTCTGAAAGTATTCAAAAACCTAATTTTTCATAAATATATAAGACCCCAAAATGCATCAACTTAAAGATTTTGTGATTCTAAACCTCTCAGTGTCTGAAATAATGGGGTAAAATGTAGAAGAGATTAGCCATGAAATTCAAAAAGTAGGTCACGGTGACCTACTTTTAAGTTGACGTTCAAAGACCCAAGATGCATCAACTGACAAAATTTGAGGATCACAGGCTTTAAAGTGTCCAAAATATGCCTCCAAATCAATTTGAAAACGAAAGAAATTTAAAAAGGAGGTCACTGTGACCTACTTTTGTGTTAACATGATGTGAAGTCCTAAGTTGCATCAACTTACAAGATTTGATGATCCTAGTCTTTATAGTAAGCAACATAACAATGTTTTTACAAAGTGTAAATTTAGGTTAGCTTTGAAGTGACCTTGAGACCACGCCCTTTACCCCAGGATCATGCCCTGAACAATTTTCAATCTTCAACATATCCTGACCCTTGTATGTAAGTTTGGTGAAAATCTGCCAGGTGGCTCTGGAGAAGACGATTTTTTAGCAACTGGTTCTTTTGGTTTTATTTTCCTGATTATCTCCCCTTGCTTTAGGGTCCCAACCCTAGCTTTAGGACAAATAATAGCCCTTGGGCCAAGGATACCCCATGACAAATTTGGCAATGATTGGCCAAGGGATTCTTGAGTTATGGCCCATATTCTAAAAAATTACCGCACGAAGCACAACGCACACATGGCCACAACATTAGCTTTTTGAACCTTTGGCTCAGAAGAGCTAAAAAGAGAAAAACAAGGGGCTCAAGGGCCTTGAATCGCTCTTCTGATAAATTGTATAATCTTTTTAATCTATTTAAAGCCTCTAAACCTAAGTATCCTTAAACACAAGTTGCAACTGACAAAGCTTGATGATTCTTAGCCAATTAGGACTGATGATATTTTAAGAAAGCTATAAAAACCATAAGTAGGTCACAGTCATCTACTTTTAGATTGAAGTTTTCTGAGGACTCAGGATCCATTAATAGACAAAGATTGAAGATTCTAAGCCAATAAGTATTTGAGATATTTAAAAGTAGGTCACTGTGACTTACTTTTTTGTCTACATTCTCCGAAAACCCAAGACGCATCAACTGACAAAGTTTGCTGATTCTAAGCCAATAAGTATCCAAGATACTTTATAGCCATAAAATGTCACAGATAGGTCACTGTGACCTTATTTTTAGTAGACAATTTTCGAAAACCCAAGATACATCAGCTGACAAAGTTTGATGATTCTAAGTCAATAAGTACCTGAGATAATCAAAAGTAGGTCACCATGACCTAGTTTTTGGTTGATATTCTCAGAAAACCAAAGATGCCCCAACTGACAAAGTTTAACAATACTAGGTCAATCAGTACTTGAGATACAAAAATATAGCCATAAATGCCAAAAGTAGACAAGGTGATGTAATTTTTCTTTTGCATTCCCTGAAAACCCAAGATGGATCAACTGACAAAGTTTGATGATTCTTAGCCAACAAGTACCTGAGATACTTAAATATACCCATAAAATTTCAAAAGAAGGTCACCTTGACCTACTTTTTTGTCTACATTCTTGGAAAACCGAAAATGCATCAACAAAATGCATTAATATGTACTCGAGATACTTAAATATAGCCATAAAATGTCAAAAGTTGGTCACGATGACCTACTTTTTAGTAGTAGCAAAAACCCAAGATACATCAACTGACAAAGTTTGATGTTTCTAAGCCAATAAGTACCTGAGATATTCAAAAATAGGTCACCATGACCTACTTTTTGGTTGACATTCTCCGAAAACTCCAAGATTCATCAACTGACAAAGTTTGATGATTCTAAACCAATAAGTAATGGAGAGATACTTAAATATAAAGACATAAAATGTCAAAAGTAAGTCATTGTGACCTACATTTTGGTTGATGTTTTTCTAAGTCCCAAAATGCATCTACTGACACAGTTTGATGATTGTAATTCTGAAGGTAATCAAAATATGCCTTTTAAACAATTTGAAAACAAATGCCTACAAAATTCAAAATGTAGGTCAGAGTAAGCACCTTTTTCATAAATATGTTTTAAGGTCCCAAGATGCATCATCTTACAAGATTTGATGATTCTAAATCTCTCAGTGTCTGAAATAATGGGATTAAATGTTTTAGAAAGGATTAGTCATAAAAATTCAAAAAGTAGGTCACAGTGACCTACTTTTATGTTGAAAATGTTCAAGGACCCCATGCATCAACTGACAAAGTTTGATGATCAAAGGCCTTAAAGTGTCCAAAATATGCCTTCAAATCAATTTGAAAACAAATGCATGCAAAATTTAAAAAGGGAGGTCACCATGACCTACTTTTGAGTCAACATGATGTGAAATCCTAAGATGCATCAACTTACAAGATTTGATGATCCTAGTCCTTATAGTAAGCAAAATACAAATGTTTTTATTAAGTGTAAGTTTAGGTCAACTTGGAAGTGACCTTGAGACCACACCCTTTGCTACAGGGTAATTTCCTGTGCAAATTTTAATCTTCAACATATCCTGATCCTTGTACGCAAGTTTGGTAAAAATCTGCCTGGTGGTCCTGGAGAAAAAATTTTTTTAGCAACCAGTACTTTTGGTTTTGTTCTCCCCTTGTTTAAGGGTCCAACCCTTTTTCTAGTATAAATGGTAGCCCTTGGGCCAAGGATTATCTATGACAAATTTGACACTGATTGGCCAAGGGGTTCTTGAGTTATGGCCCATATTCTAAAAAGTTTATGCACATGGCACACCACACAAATGGCCATAGCATTAGCTCTTTGAGCCTTTGGCTCAGAAGAGCTAAAAATACTAAAAAAGACAATTATAAATTTGGGTGATTTTTTTTATTCATCAGAGACACTGATCAAAGATTCACAATTTCCAATGAATTATCTAATACTGCATGTTTTTATTTTTTCCATGTAAAAGCATCAATAACTGTAATTTTAATAACTCAATAGAGAAAAAAATATATGTACATGTATGTAAAGCAAAAATAGTTTTAAACATAAAATATTGCCCCATGAATTTCCTTTTTACCCATTTAAAAGACCACTAAAAATTACCTATAACTCACAAAATACATATACCTATAAAAAGCAATCACCATCATTGGACAAAATGGATTTGTTTTGACTTACATACTTATACACAAGGAATCTTAATCACAATGGATATACCCTTTAAACAAGGGAAAACAAAACATCAGGCAAGTCAGATGTGGAAATTTAAAAAAAAAAGCCCATGCAATAAAAAAGAATTAACAGCATACATTAGATACTTGCATCCAGTAAGCAATCAAAACGGATTTGTATAATATATAAATCACAGTAATATCATCCACAATATCACTCAAAAAAAATTTACACAATATCATAATGCCATGAACTAAACTTGTAAAGTCCTAACACGTATTGAAATCTATGCTCTGTAGCAAGAAACCAAGAAGGCATCTATTTTGCATCTATTTTGCAATTACCGTCACCCAAAATAAAGTCCTGCCCAATATAACACAGATTGTCTGGGAATTAATCCTGAAACATAAATGCATAATGTTTAGATTTTATGGACTCGAAAACCATGACATGAAGTAAAACTCTTATAAATGAGCCAAAATTTTCATTTCTTCATAAATAACAAAAAAATTAAAATAACGTAAAAAAGCTGACGAGAATTGCTGAAAACCTCTGCCACAAGAGCAAATACAGGTAATAAAGCTTAGCACCCATAAATAATGATTCTAAAATAATTATTCATCACTAACAAATAAAAATCACTAACACTGAATAAAATCACTAACCCAGTTCATAAAATCACTAAGACTAGTCACTATAAAATCACTAAATGCACATTTGATTTCAATAATGCAATATTCAGTACAGCATCAATTATAGTGTCTTCAGCTCAAGCATAAAACTCTTTACCTTACATAAATTCCATTATATTACAATATACAGCAGAAAAAATCTACGTTCAGTAAGCTCACTTCTAACATGTCTAAACTTGATTGTTCTGTTATTTGGCCAAGGATAATTAAATCAGATCCTCATATCACATCAGCTGTCAGTTCAGATCTGCAGTAATCCAAAAGATATCTTAAAAAAATCGAACTCAGTTGAACATAACAAGACAGTGATATGTTGTCCACCGCATGGCCTAACGTCTACATTATCCTATTAAGGCAGAGGTATCATGATTTAAGCAAATAAATCATACAACAATGAGAAAAACGTCTTGCATTGTATCACTTGATTGACACTGGTCAAAGGGAATTAAAACAAGTCGGCTTTCCTTTTCAGGTCGTTTCGCTTCCACTCTGGAAGGCGTGTGAAGTGTTCCCTATCCATTTTGAACAGTTGATTAAAGTCTTCCTGACGTAAATGAATCTGAAAAAATATGCAGGCATTACTACTATAAATGGTACTTTTTAAACTCCTGAGATAGAGGAAATGTTTGTCTTAACTGCCTTCTTCAGTGGACTTTATCAATTGTAACCAGACTGGCTTTGTCCAACAGTGGATAGACTGGATTCATAGATTTTGAGGAGAATTTCAATAATTTTTTCAAGCATCCAAATTTTACAGCGAATCATTCAAATAAACTATTTTTAGAAATGACACTAACGGTCACCAGTAAACATTTTTGAATTTTATCACACAATTTGTTTAACATAACAGAACATTTTTGATTTGTATCATATAATTTGTTAAACTAACTTTTATGAAACAATCTTATGGTTTACATAATGTATTTCAAAAAGTAAAAGTACTGTTTAACATCTTCCTTGCTCTTCTGAATAAAAGACATTCCATGCAAGATTACATATCAAAAGTAAGCTGGTTCTCTATACTTTTATCAGTTTGTCAGTGAACCAGTCATAAGAGGCCATTGAGAGCTTACCTCCAACATATTTCTATCCACATCTTTAGGCAAGTCGAAATTACTTATCTTCAGCTTCTCATAGGGATAGATCTACAATTCATTATATAACAAAGGTTAAATTTCATTTCCATCCTCTCCAGTTAAAAAAAGAGCACAGAAAAATGCAGACATATTACAATTCAAAATAAGGGAGTTAATCATTTCTAGGATGATTAATTATAAAGTTGAAGATATTTTTTTCATTCTTCATATAAATACTTGTAAAAATTTTGCACTGTAAGAAACATATTATGGTAAAATTGTTTCCATTTCTCTTGTTTTCACATGTTTAGATTTTTCTTTCCAAAAAATCACCATCGTTTACTGTAAGCCAACTATTATTCATGTCATCTTTTATTCCATCGTCGCAAACCACGGCCAAAATGTACGCTCCTCTCCCATCTGGCCGTGGTTGAACGAGGAGAGAATTCTTTGTAGCTCATTAAAATACTGACCAATGTGAGTAAAGCATAGTCGGATGATGAACTTTATCGCAACCTTTCAATATCCAATCGCAGGCAATATTTCTTGTATATTGTTGACATCAGTTGTTGATTTCGATTGCGATGGAAACAAAACTTGCCACTGACTGAATATGACGTCACAATAGAGAGGCGTAAATATTCAAGATTACGACACTTTTTGTGATCAAGCAGCCACGGGTAGGAGGGAGCTATATATATGCGGACTCCGGACCGTGGCTTGAGACGATGCTTTTATTCACGATTTGTCAGTTTGCAATCAGTCTGCGATGTTTAGTCTTTGCGAATGAGGAAACATTCTCTAGCAAATTAAAGCAAAATAACTGGTTTGCAGCAATAAATATTTGCAAATTAAAGTAAGTTGTGAAACTAGGGAATATTTCTCGCATGCGAAAAATAGTTGGCTTATAGTAATCAAAATTTTTATATACATGAACAAAGAGGGGGGACTCACCGGGGGATCAGCCTCTGTGTGCCACGTACTCCTCTGTAGGGAAATTATAGATATACCTTGGCCTCCTAATATACTGGAAGTTGCAAAAGATTCTTGCTGCAAAAGAAAAGCATTCAATTTTCATTATGGACATGATACAAAAATCTTTCAATATAAGAAAAACAATGTAAAAATAAGGAATTCATACATACCTCTGTGTTAACAGTTGAAGATGAAGCTGAAAAAGTAAGTATACAGTATAAAATATTAAAAACAACAAGAGGCCCATGGACCTTATAGGTCACCTGAGCATCATGCAACAACTTTTCAATGATTAAGTTTGGTTCATGTTTTAACATGTTTAAACTAGACACCATGGCAATCAAAATTTTGAAAAAGGAACCATTATTCATCATAACTATACACTTAGATTTAATGTATTTTCACTATAATCAATAGAGCTCCGCCCTAACACCAGAACCCTTCACCCAGGGGCCATAAAATTCACAATTTTGAAAGAGGAATTCTTGCTCATCATAACAATGTGCTTAATTAGTTTATGTAATACCCAGGAGCAGAGAAGAAGATTTTCAAAGAATTAATGTATTTTCACTATAATCAATAGAGCCCCGTCCTAACACCAGAACCCCTGACCCAGGGGCCATAAAATACACAATTTTGAAAGAGGCAATCTTGCTTATTAATATTATAACCATATACTTATTTAGTTAGTTTAGTTAATACCTAGGAGCAGAGAAGAAGATTTTCAAAGAAATAATGCACTTTTTACTATATGATCTATATAGCCCCACCCTAACCCAAGAATCCCTGACCCTGGGGCCATGAATTTCAAAATTTTGGTAGAGGACTCAATGCTGATTATCATCATGCCAACAGTTTGACTGCTCGATGTCCAAGAGTAAAGAAGAAGATTTTAAAAGATTGCATTAATTTTGGTGGTTTTGGCCCCATCCCTCAGGCCCCAGGGGGGCAGGGGCCATGAATATCAAAATTTTTCTTTCCCTTCACCCATAGATGCTGTATACCAAATTTGGTTGAAATTGGCTGAGCCGTTCCAGAGAAGAAGCTGAAAATGTTCAAAAGTTTACAACCGATTGACGACGAACGACGAACGAAAACAGATAGCAATAGGTCACCTGAGTGACTCAGGTGACCTAAAAATGATGTAGTCCAAGTTTCATTACACAGTATATGATTGTATAAAACAAAATTACTAGCAAAAATGTATAGTAGTTAGAGTTTAATGGCTTAAAATTTACATATACATAGAAAATTAATGGGGTTTACATATTGCTTGCAGGTTCAGTAAAGAAACCAAGTTTCAATTCAATTCTTACTTCTTCCAACCCCCAACCCCCTTTCCAAAAAAAAAAAATCAACTTAAAAATTCCTGACCTGCAGATTTTTCTATGATTTTTTTTTCCTTTTCAAAGTTTTTAGAAGAAAATCTTGAATTCTGAGAGATCACACATGAAGAAGTAGGACTAAATTAACCTCTTAGGTCTGATTTGTTGACTTACTTGCTGACGGATGACTCCTGGATCCTAGATCTTCAAAATCATAGTATCTCTGAAAGGCATTGGCAACATTTTGCATTAATACGTTATGCTTTACAGGTTTCTTATAAAAACAAGAGGCCCAAAGGGTAATTTTAAAATCAACAGCACCAAAAAAATTAAACTCCAAAAAAAAGACAAAAGTATCAACAAAATAATTAGTTGGTATTATCATTAACTCTGAAATTTAAAAAAAAATTGAAAATACATTTTTTTTTATATCCTATCAATTACATTGTTTACATTATTTACATTGTTTTAAAAACAAAGATAACTTCTCTTAAGGTACTCCGATCCTCAGGTTCTGCTAGTAAGGCATTGACTATTGAAAATGCTCACAAAAATGTGTCTGGATTCTCAAAGTAATTTGTTTTTGCGCACAAGAATTCTTCAAACTTTATCTTTAAAGTCAATTATATTATCTTGGGAAAATTAGTAACTCCCAAATAAATTTTCAGGAAATGCAAATAAAAACACCTTTTTTAAAATTTTCCAATTCAAATTTGAAAACAAACATATTTAAAATATAAAAATCATAGAAATTGCAAAATTTTTATACATAATTTATATTTAATGTACTTTAATTTCTTCTATTTATTCTCGTAATGTATTAAGAATTTCCTACCATTGCAAGACACCATAAATCACATTTTATTTCAATTAATGTTAAAAACCATTGGTATCTATGGTAAGATTAAATTGAACCTTAATTTATTATTAAAAAATACTGTTAAAATACTTTTATGGGGTAAAATTTTCTACCTTTTATAGGACCTTTCTGAAAACTTCAAAGAAGGTATAAAATGAAAATTGCTGCATGAAAAAAAAAAATTTTTTCAAGCTTCTTATAAGACATTGGGAATTAATTTATAAATTTAAGAGTTATCCTTCCTGACTGAGAGTCAGAGTATGTATTCCAATACATGATTATAAATTTATAATAGCATCCCAATCTAACTCCAGAAACCCTGTTTTAGAGGCCATGAATTTCACAGTTTTAGCAGAATCATCTTCATTATTGTTCTGTCTGCTAGATATAGAGGGAGAAATAATATTTTAGAAAAGATAACAGATTTTTACTATATGAATTTTAGATCCCAGCCCTAACACCAAAGCCCCTGACCCTGGGGTAATGAATTTCTTAATTTTGGTAAAGAGCTAAATTCTTATAGTACAATCTTGCCAAAACTTTGACAGCTTGATTTCCAGAGGAAAAGAAAGATTTCAAAAGACTGCATTAGATTTATGGTTTTAGCCCCACCCCTCTGACAGACCAATTTCCTTTAACAGGTCCAAGGGGGATTCGGGGGGACTAAGAAATTGAAAATTTTGTACTTCTTAGCCCATACATATAGAAGTTATATGTTGAAATTGGTTAAAATTGATTCAGCAGTGTCAAAGAGGAAGTTGAAAATTCTCTAATATTAACATAAAATGACAAATAAAAACAGATAGCAACAGGTCACCTGAGTAACTTAGGTAGCCTAACATTTCACCTCATATTTTATGAGCTGTGTTTTGATTTCAAAAATTACGGGAATTTCTACATCTTCAATAAGCAGGATTGAAAAAAAAGAACAAGAGGGTCATGATTTGAACAAACTTGAAACTACACTACCTGAGCATGCTTCCATATATATATATGATGAATTATGGCTTTGTCATTCTTGAGAAGAAGATTTTTTAAGAATTTTCCTATATATTTCTGTGTAAAACTTTGGTCGGCCATTTTGGCCCCGCCCTTCCCCCGGGGGTCATGATTTGAACAAACTTGAATCTACACTACCTGAATATGCTTCCATATAAATATGATGAATTATGGCTTTGTCATTCTTGAGAAGAAGATTTTTAAAGAATTTTCCTATATATTTCTATGTAAAACTTTGGTCGTCCATTTTGGCCCCGCCCTACCCCCTGGGGTCATGATTTGAACAAACTTGAATCCACTCTACTTGAACATGCTACCATATAAATATGATGAATTATGGCTTTGTCATTCTGGAGAAGAAGATTTTTAAAGAATTTTCCTATATATTTCTATGTAAAACTTTGGTCGTCCGTTTTGGCCCCGCCCTACCCCGGGAGGTCAGATTTGAACAAACTTGAATCTACACTACCTGAGCATGTTCCCATATAAATATGATGAATTATGGCTTTGTCATTCTTGAGAAGAAGATTTTTAAAGAATTTTCCTATATATTTCTGTGTAAAACTTTGGTCGGTCATTTTGGCCCCGCCCTACCCCCGGGGGTCATGATTTGAACAAATTTGAATCTACATTACCTGAGGATGTTTCCCCATAAGTTTCATCTTTCCTGGCACAGTGGTTCTTGAGAGGAAGATTTTTAAAATATGCCACTAAATTTTCATTAATTCCCAATTATCTCCCCTTGAATGAGGGCGTGGCCCTTCATTTGAACAAACTTGAATCCCCTTGACCCAAGGATACTTTGTGGCAAGTTTGGTTGAAATTAGCCCAGCGGTTCTTGAGAAGAAGTCGAAAATGTGAAAAGTTTACAGACAGACAGACGGACAGCTAGACGGACAGACGGACGCCGGACAAAATGTGATCAGAAAAGCTCACTTGAGCCTTCGGCTTAAGGTGAGCTAACAATATGATGCTAATTACTAACATAGCTAAGATGGCCTCCAAACGTGCCCGAAACAGGAAGAGTGGCAGCCCTTGGAGTCAGGGAATAACTAGTTCTGTGTACTGAAAGAACAAATTCTTCACGTTAAGGATAACCATCAAAACTTCTTTCTTTATCTCAATATTTTCAATAAAGTTGCATTTGTCGAAGATTAAGAAGTGTACAATGAAGTTTGCATTTGCCACAAACTCAATGCTCAATAGAATGCCTGTACCTGGATGTGTGGACATGGTTCTATAGCCTCGTGATATATCACTGTCATCCCAGTACCGGCGGGGTCGATCCAGGAATCTAGAGGGAGCTGTAAAAGTCAAATAGGTCGGTCAAGCCTCGAAAACTGTATGTACAAGGTACAATATTAAAACTGTATGTACAAGATACAATATCACAACCGTATGTACAAGATACAATATTAAAACTGTATGTACCGGTAGTTGTATACAGATATTATGCTGTAAATCATCAATGATAGGTTTTTAAAAAAGACAGAATAAATATTCACCAAACCAGAGATTTCAACTGAACAAGCAACATGAAAAGTGAAGAAAAAAAAACAATCATAACACAATGAGTCATAAAAAGTAGAGAGAGTATCATGTATCATGTGTTACTTACAGGCAAACATTGGTGATGGTACATGTATTGTGTGCTACTTACAGGCGAACATTGGAGACTGGTATCGTGTACTGTATCGAGGTTCGTGGTCAGCACTCGGCACTCTAGAGGCTTTCCATGGATCCAGAGCCTTCACAGGATGTGCCCGCTTTTCCTCCAGTTCTTTATATATTATTTTGCCTATGCCCGACTGGTCTTTAAATTTGGAGAGTTCCTCGATTTCTTTGGTAATTTTGGGGTCCTCTGGAGGCATTTCTTCATCCTCTTCATCTGTTTCACCGCGACTTTTACGTCGCTGTCTCACTGTAAAACCATAATATTAGTGGTATTTGTTTTGTTCATTTTATACATTTGTCAAGTGTTTAGGCCAAAAAAAATAATAGTCTTGTTTCCTGCTACCAGCCAGAAAAAATAGGGTAGGTAGGTAGGAAAATTATTTTATTTTTTAATTTTATTTTATTTTTTCCAACGATATTTTTTTGGATATGAACTACTACAAAACCAAATTGAATGTCATAGCTTAGATAGCTAAGGTCAATATCATCTTTCAAAATGAAATTCCATGCCTTTGGATGCACAACTCAAGTGGAATTTTACGAAAGTCCATATTTTAAACATATATTTCATGAAATACAACTTGAGAATATATAAATTTTTTCACTTTTGAAACATGAAATTTCTAAAATTTTGAATTTTTTCCCCAAAAGCTAAAAAAAACTTTAGGGTCGGGTGCAAAAAAATAGGGTAGGTCGGGTAGCAGGAAACAAGACTATTTTTTATTTTGGCCTTACTTGTTTGGGTTTTTTTTTTGTTTCTGCATATTGTACAGATGAATTTTACTATTTTGGGCATGACAGGGGATGAAAAAAGCTTAGCTTTCCATAACTTCAAAATTTCAAAGATAAAACCATGGTAGAGTGGCTTCTAGTAAAACATTTTTTTCCGAGAAATCTTACATATTTCTGGTAGAATGGCTGCTGGACATGGGGGTCCAGGCCAGTCCTCTCGCTCTATCTTGGTGATCTCATTGGGGGGTGGGGGCTTGGCGGCGGGGAACATGCTCATCCTAACCGCCTCCTCATTACGGAGCTCGGAGGATGAGGAGACCCGTCTAGTTCGCTTCACCACCACTTTTGTGCCCGTAGCTGATAGTTTAAAAAAACAACAATAAAATTAACTGGCTTTGATTGATTTTGCCAGGAATAGTCAAGAAAGACAGATTTTGTTTTGTTTTTTTTTTTCGTGTTGAATTATAACACTTACCTAGAGCAGCCATACCACCTGTAAAGAAACGTGTTGAAAGATATTAAAACTAGTTTACATGAATCGTATCACAGCAGGTAGTTCTAAAATCTGATAAAAGCCAACACTGAGTTGTGACGAGTGTTTCACAGATTTAAGTAAAGTTAAGTGTACTCTGAAAAAAAGGCCATTTTTAATGTTCCCATTAAATTGTACATTTTTGAGATATCTTTATTTTTTCTGTTTACATGACAATTTTTTTTTCATTGTTTGCTGTAGAGAAAACCATACTCCAGTGATACGAAGTGTACTGATTTGACTTGTTCACACTTGGCATTTCATGTGATAGGTGTTTTGTTCTTTGACTGAGGTTATTGTATATTGAATGACCTTTTAGTACCAGTTTTATGTTTCAACACATAGTTCAAAGACTTATCTGTTGAAATATTTTGAGTTGTTTTTAACACAAATGTTGACATCATACAAAACCTTGACACAACACAGTGTTGAATTTAAGTCAAAATTTGGACAAAATATCTTCAATGCAGTTTTAATGAAATAGGTTCTGTATGCAAATTGATAATTATATATTCATATATACTAACATAAACGAACACAAGACGCATATGGGGCACAACCCCCATGATGGGTGATTAGAAAAGCTTACTTGAGGTAAAAAGTATTCTAACAAAATGTTCATTTAATTTTAGCAGTACTCAGATTGAATACAATATCAACCAACTTTTCTTTGGTTTCAAGAATTCCGGTTTGTCTCTGGAGTAAGAGAAGTTGACTGGGCGGTGGAAATGGGGAGAGGTGTGGGCCTTGCGGAGAGTCTGGGGGGGCTTCTTCAGGTAGTTGCTCTTTCCTTCGCTCAGGTAACTAGTGTTGTAAAACTTCCCATAGTCTAGAACTGCCTTCTTCTCATAGAAGTCCTATCAAAACCGTAAAGCCAGCATTAGACATTTTAAGACACACATCATTTTAATTATCAAACAGAACCTGTGGACTATTGACATTTTTAAGTATACATGACTTATTTCTCTTTCTCTGAAGATGATAGATGACAATTATCAAACCCAAAAAAACAAAACAAAAGAGCACTGAAAAATTGCACACTGTTGTGTAAAACAGACCCTAGCATACATATGCAAGGATTACCTATCCCTCTGCCTCCTTTTATAGATGTTTACATTTTTATGTAACTACGAAAAGGTCGTGATGGCACTTCATGACAGAGCTGTTCGGTGTGAAGTGATTCCGCGTTACAATGTATCAGATATTCGATGTTACCTATGTGTGAGTGGCTTTACACACCCTTCTCACAATGAAATAGTCTACATTTCTACTGCCTACTCTTGTACTGTAAAGGTTTTATACATAAAACAATCTTTTCGCTTTCGTAAGGTTATTGTTCTAAATGGTGTTCACTTATTTCTTTATATTTACAGTTGTGCTGTGTTTTTCTGCTACGTCAACAGTCAATTTGATATGAATGCCATTTTCATGTATACTAACTTGGGTGTAGAAATGTATATGGAAACACTCACGCTGAAGTCACGACACAATGAGACAACAGATATGTAAAAAAAAAAATGTAACAATATAACATGATAGGGTAGCTAGAAATTGGTATAATATATATTTGGTGCTTTTCAACATTCAAAATGTAAAAATGAGGCATGTTTTTAAGTTTGGTGTGAAAATTAAACAGCTCTTTATTCAGAACAAAAAATTATTAAAAGAATGTTTGAATTAAGTCAAAATTGCCGCCTTTTTCGGGGGATTCCTGTGTATGTATTCATTATGTCTATAAAATAAATGAATAATGTAAACTCCATAAAATATTCATGTTACAAAATCAAAATAAACATAGAAAACAAAAAATTCCAAGTAAGAGAATACCCTAATCCTCTTGGGTTAAAAATCAATGTTAACATCTCACAAAATCATTGAAATCCCCATGGTAACAATTATCATCTGGTAACCTATTAAAAGTAATCTTTGTCATGTTTATTTAGTAGAGCACATAAATTAGATTGATATGTATTGAAGGAAAATTACTTGGAGCCATATTATTGATTTATATATATAAATGTAGAATTATGAATGCTAGCATGTATATAGTTTTAAAAATACTTTCATGTCATGAAAATGTGACAAAATTCTATGTAATCATTTTCAATTGACATAACGCAATTGACAGTCTTGAATTGCATAAAAGATGAAAGAGCGATTTAAAAAATGAAAAATTTATAGTAATCAAAAATATCAAAGTACACATATATAGTAAAAATTTTACAGAGATTGCTACCCTTTATTATCACTTACCGGACTGAAAGGTGTAAGGACATCATCATCATTTACCTGTCTGACATCATCACTTACATGGTTGATATCATCACTGACCTGCCTGACATCATCACTTACCTGCCTGATATCATTACTTACATGTCTGACATCATCACTTATATGCCTGACATCATCACTTACCTGCCTGCCATCATCACTTACCTGCCTGACATCATCACTCACCTACCTGACATCATTACTTACATGTCTGACATCATCACTCACCTGCCTGACATCATCACTTACCTGCCTGACATCATCACTCACCTGCCTGACATCATTATTTACCTGCCTGACATCATCACTTATCTGCCTGACATCATCACTTACCTGTCTAACATCATCACTTACCTGCCTGACATCATCACTCACCTGCCTGACATCATCACTTACCTGCCTGTCATCATCACTGACCTGTCTGACATCATCACTTGCCTGTCTGACATCATCACTTACCTGTCTGGTGGATGTTAACCTTTATAATAACTTACCTGACTGACAGGTGTGAGAGCTTCATCATCACTTTGATCTGTATGCTCCTGATCCGAGTCTGTGTTTATATCTATATAAATTAAAACTTAGTAAAATTAGTCCCAAACATGAAAAGATATAGCCTAAATAATATCCACTAGTCTATGTAGCTTATTTTGACAATTTAAGCCACTTTTATGATTGCAAATTTTCCATTTGATGTTACATGTACTAGAATCATTGACTAAAACTAAAAGCATGTGATAAATGAGAGAGAGAGAGAGAGAGAGAGAGAGAGAGAGAGAGAGATAAAAATCTTTGTCAGCTATTTGATTGTTCTGTATGATTAATTTAACTCCTCTTTTATTTAAGCTTAAATTTCACAGATATTGCACAATGACTTTCAAATATGTCCCCATTTTTAGACCAATTCCTAGTAGGAAAGATTTGATTCAAATCTAAATGTTAAAATCTTTTATCATGTTGTTATGTAGAATGAATGAATTTCCAACCCCAACCCCAACCCCCCCCCCCCCCCCTTTTGTTCCAATCTCTGAATGAATCCCTTATTATGCCATCTTTTTTAGAAAATGGTTCTTCTAATTCTGAAGACATTTTAAACTTGTTGACTGTTCTTCAAAATTACATAAACACTGATACAAGAATGTGTAAAAAATCAAAATAGAGCAATAAAAACACTTATTTTTTGTGACTATGGCATTTAATACCTCAAACCCTTCATGAATATGTTGTTGTTAAGTTTTTTTTATGCATCATTATCTCAAAATTACAAAATACATGTATGTATCTGTGAATGTCACTCAGAATGCTGTTTTTCTTTTCCTGGACAAAACATCTGATATTTATCATGTTTATCAAGTGAGACGTTTGTTTTCAAGTAGCTGCATTCTTCCTAATCTGTGTAACTTACGTAATTGTTCCGTACACAACATTGAGGTGGTCGCGGGCGTAGAGGCTGCCCGAGGAAGCATTTCTCCGTTGACCATCTTTGGCGTGAAGGGCTCCATGTGAGTGCCGTTCATCCTTAGGGGACTATCGGAAACAGACTTTTCCGTCCAGGTCTGGGGAACGTTTTCCTTTTGCTCATAGTCGGCGTCTTGCTGATCGTAGTCCGTTTCTTGTTCCGAGCTAGAAGATGCCAGATTTAAGGAAATGCTCTTCGGCAGATTTGGCGAGTCCCCTACACTGATTCTCTGCTCCATGACGGGAGCTGACTCTGACCTGAGGGGGAAGGCTGTTTCTGATCTCTCTGGGTGCCTCATTCCTCCTCTCTTTGGAGACTTGCGAGGTGTAGGGGAAGGTTCCCCATCCAAGTCTCTGGGTTTTGATGATTTCTGACCTGTATCCATGGTAACATAGTAAACAATAATTATTTTACTGACTCCTACAACTGAATTGCAAATAAATATTGACATTTTCTATGGTACCTGAAAAATTATTTATCTGGAGAACTTTTAACACAGAACTACCTACACCGGAATATTTTTTTCCTCTAAATTTAACATCATAATCTAAATATAAACATTCATTAGTAATGAAATATTATTAAGCTTCATAAGATACTCATAAACAAACTTTTGACAAGCAAGGAAACTGAATTGATAGTAATTAATTAAATAACCTGATGCTTAATCATGTTGATTGAACTACATAAATACTTTATGTAAATCTGGCAAAAGAGTCTACCTACAGTGGCTACACTTGGGAATTATTACTCTGAATCTAAAATCCAATATACTAAGAGGGGGCCAGAATAGTTACATCATGTAAATTTCATGCTGCTGGATCATTTTCAATAATTCATAAATACGATCTAAAGAAGAACAGGAGGCCCAGGGGCCACAGCGCTCACCTGAGCACATCAGCTAGGAAGATACACATATCAGATCAGAACTGAAAGTTAACTTAAGTTGGGGGGGGGGGGGAGGCTTGAATTTTAACCCCCAAGGGGATCATAATTTGAACGAACTAGAATCTACATTACCTGAGGATGATCCCATACAAATATAACTAATCCTGGCTTTGAAGTACTTGAAAAGAAGATTTAAAAAGGTTTCCCTATATATTTCTATGTAAAACTTTGGTAAGCCATTTTGGCCACGCCCTACTCCCAGGGGTCATGACTTGAACAAATTTAAATCTACATTACCTGAGGATGATTCCACATGAGTTTCATCTTTCCTGGCCCAGTGGTTCTTCAGAAGAAGATTTTTAAAGATTTTTCCTATATATTCCCATGTAAAACTTTGATGAGCCATTTTGGCCCCGCCCTACCCCCGGGGGTCATGACTTGAACAAATTTAAATCTACATTACCTGAGGATGATTCCACATGAGTTTCATCTTTCCTGGACCAGTGGTTCTTGAGAAGAAGATTTTAAAAGATTTTTCCTATATATTCCTATGTAAAACTTTGATCGGTCATTTTGGCCCCGCCCTACCCCCGGGGGTCATGACTTGAACAAATTTAAATCTACATTACCTGAGGATGATTCCAAATGAGTTTCATCTTTCCTGACCCAGTGGTTCTTGAGAAGAAGATTTTCAATGTTTTTTCCTATATATTTCTATATAAAACTTTGATTCCCCATTGTGGCCCCGCCCTTCCCCCGGGGGTCATGATTTGAACGATTTAGAATCTACACTACACCAGGATGCTTCCACATAAGTTTCAGCTTTTCTGGCCCAGTGGTTCTTGAGAAGAAGATTTTCAAAGATTTTTCCTATATATTTCTATATAAAACTTTGATTCCCCATTGTGGCCCCACCCATCCCCCGGGGGTCATTATTTGAACAATTTAGAATCTACATTATACCAGGATGCTTCCACATAAGTTTCAGCTTTTCTGGCCCAGTGGTTCTTGAGAAGAAGATTTTCAAAGATTTTTCCTATATATTTCTATGTAAAACTTTGATTCCCCATTGTGGCCCCGCCCTTCCCCCGGGGGTCATGATTTGAACAATTTAGAATCTACACTATACCAGGATGCTTCCAGATAAGTTTCAGCTTTTCTGGCCGTGTGGTTTTTGTTAAGAAGATTTTCAAAGATTTTTCCTATATATTTCTATATAAAACTTTGATTCCCCATTGTGGCCCCGCCCTTCCCCCCGGGGTCATGACTTGAACAATTTAGAATCTACACTACCCCAGGATGCTTCCACATAAGTTTCAGTTTTACTGGCACAGTGGTTCTTGAGAAGAAGATTTTTTAATGACCCCACCCTATTTTTGTCTTTTCTTGATTATCTCCCCTTGTGAGGGGATATGTCCCTTCATTTTAACAATTTAAATTCCCCTTTACCCAAGGATGCTTTGTACCAAGTTTGGTCAAAATTGGCCCAGTGGTTCTTGAGAAGAAGTCGAAAATGTGAAAAGTTTACAGACGGACAGACGGACAGACGGAAGGACGGACGGACAACGGACAAAATGTGATCAGAAAAGCTCACTTGAGCCTTCGGCTCAGGTGAGCTAAAAAAACTGTTACTTGTAATAGCCCAATGTCATCATGATTTAATATAAGTTACTTTTAAGTTTATAAAATTTGTTTTCTCAAAAATCGCCCCCACAGTTAAACAAAAATTAAAGAGTAGATAATTTTTGGGAGGGTAGCTAAACAGCTAAATAAAAAATAAATTAAAAAAAAATAATGGGATATAAAACCCCAGTATTTTTCATTTATTTTCAAGTTGTTTATAACACAAATTTTACACTGATTGATCATGTTGATAAAAAAATATTGTTTGGTTCCAATACATGTAATTCATTGTGGTTATGTAGCTCAGTCACACAAAGTTTTATTTGAAAATGATATGGCACAGTTGTGCATAATGACTGATTGTCAAATGATTTTGTTTGTTACATTGTGAAGACAATTCAAATTATGGGCTGTTGTTTTCCTGTTTTAAACACATCAGGCTCTAGAGCCATAAAACTCAATCTCAATCTTTATCTCATTCACTTAAATTTTCCACCATTTTATTTTTCAAGGAAGGGGAATGCAAAGCCATTTTAAGTATTATTGCAGCATGCTCTGTACCTTATTGAGTTCAATGACCAATTTATGAAATATTTCTTGTAAACCCAAAGTATTATTTTGCAAGAATGAAATCTAAAACTTGTCAAAGCTAAATCTATAATGATTACAGATTCATCAAAGTTATCAAACACATATCAAACATGAAAATAAGAAGGGATGGGGGGTAGAGGGGTGTTTCCATGGCAATCATAATACCAGCAGTCTTATATATATCACATATGACAGTACATTTACAATATGTGCATGCATTTTAAAGGAAATCTTAATTATGACTAAACTAACTTATGTATCGATCTCATAATAATTTGCTTAATGAATGTCTTTTGTAATTTATTCTTTCTCACCATGTAAACACATTTCATCTAATAAACAAAAAATATGTTGATTGATTAAACTTCAGTTGTATATGACTGACAGAGTAAGCAGAGAGATGGCCATAAAATGCAGTATATGTACTATATGACATTATCTGGTTATATTTATACTGTAACTGAAGCTCAGTATGATTGACTGTGAATACTAGAAATATGTTCACATGTGTCAATAATCAACAATTTCAAATAGATGTACATCTGAATACAAAGTGTATACCTGTACAGAGGTGCATTGTTAACCTAGCATTTTATATATTTATTAGTTAGCACATTCCTTAGGACTGTATACATGGTACAGGAAAGTTTCCAGTGATTTTATCTTTAGTATACACACAGTTTGGACAAAAGGAGCATTTAGAAGTGACTCATAAATATTGACCTAGGTCAGGTTCCCGTGGTGAGATAGCATGAAACTAATTATATCCCAGTGGCAGTGCTACACATATTCTATTACATTTTCCTCCCAGTTTCAAATTCACCCCTGTCACATATTTCAACAGCCAACACAGGGGGTCTGATGTGGTGTTTTATGTCTTAAATAACGAGTTCGTCCTTAACCAGGTTTTTTCACAGTAGGTCGCATGCCTTTTCGTGTGGGATAATGTTGATGATGAGGGTTTCCAAAGATCCGCCATCTTGAATTTTTCTGGGTAATTTGCAAAAGCTAATCTACTTGTAATCATTGTTATAAAAATGTCTTCATTGACAAAGAGTCCAAAAACAAACTATGGTTTGTAAATGGTGACCCCTGTATTAAATATGTAAACACGCAGAAGGGAGAAACTGTCAAATTTATAGAATAAGACGGCTAATGTTTATTGCACGAGTGTCATGCTTCGACATTTTTAACATGGTCGGTGAATCTCGAATAACAACCGATTTATGCAGAAATACTCACCCATGATAGAGAAGATCCCACTAACCCGGTATTTTATGTCAGCATATGGGTAAATATATCTCCTTTGCCATCCACATGTTGTGTATACACAGCCGAAAGGAAGTTCTCAAATGTCAACAAACTGTGGACGATTCCACTTCCAACTCTCAAAGGGGGAGTCTAGCATTACGTTTAGAAACTAATTAGCGCGTACTTGATAAATGTCGCATCTGAATCCGCTGATTTTAATTAAAACTCTCACTTTGTGATATTATGTTGAGAAAAACGGGAAGAAAGTGATCGATTAAGTTAATAAAATATATGCAGGGTCCATTATTTTGACACTAGTCGTTCTGCACTTGTGGGGTTCTTAAAACCAATGGGCCGGGGATATATATATGCAGACAGACAAGACTTACAGCGAAAATGTTACTAGAAATTTTGATTGCTGGAATTGTTATAATATTAACCTTGATAATATGCAGACTTGGATCATTTCTATACAAGTGGTATGTATATATTTTACTTTTTCGTTCGCCCGATAGGAGGTAACCCATCGGTCAACGTAAGCCAGCTGTTCAACGTTCGGGGCATTTAAACTCTTTCTATCTATAGAGTCTATAGGGTATATTTTATACTGAGACCATTTTATTTTATATAAGATCTCAATTCACATCTTTATTGCAAATATCATACACTGCCTAAATTGGTGAATTATTGTTCCACATTTTTTTATTATCTTTTTCATTATTTTGTTTAGATACCGATAAATCATGCCTATAATTTCAAATATTTTATTTGAGAGAAAAATATATATTTATTTATAAATATTGAAACTGTAGCATAGCAAATGATAGAAACTTGACTCCATGGGGTTTCGTCATCGACGAACTTTTTTATATGTTAGGATTTAAAAGAGCATTACAGTAAATAATATTTTGGGAGCGTGAAAAAAATTTCCATTCAGTTTTCAAACATTCAACAATATATGTATAATGGTCCACGTGTAAACGCACCCAGGGCTAGATCATTACATATGTCGCTTAGATTAACAATGTCATTTTTCATAATTTAAGAAAGACAAGGGAGCTAGTATTTGTACTTTAAATATTACTTTATCAACAATTTTAAGTAAATTAAAAAAATATATATGTTATTCACTGTGATATGATAATGAACAAAAGAAGCTCAATTCTTGCGATTTTTTTTTTAAATTAAAACAGACGAGTGTAATTATATTGTAATTAATATTCTCATTCGCAAAGAAATGAAGAAAATTTATAAAATATCAGATAATACCCTTTTTTCACCGGGGGGGGGGGGGGGGGGGGGTTAGGATGAGGATGATTGGGCCCTAAGGAATGCGTGTACCTCTCCTATAGGTACGAACACACCGTCAAAATTGTCGAAAGCTCGAAATTGTTTCTGGTCAAAGATATAAATGCTTAGATCGATAAAGACCATAGAAGTCAACGGAAAAAGTTTGTCAGGAAATGAAAATGCAGCATGTATTGCTTTTTTCTGATTAAGGATATGAAGATCTTTCTTTCGCAATAAAAGCTGCATGGCTACAGTCCCAGTGAATCGATAGTGACTTTTTATGTACATTTGTACATATATATTGCGTTCATTATCACCCTAAAGGATTAAGTCATTGCCGATCGAGATTTGCTTTCAGTAAAAAAAAAAATCTTGTTATTTTTGCCATATAATATGATACTAGTTTTATACTATCGTTTTAAATTTACTGGGTGGAGGCACAGGTACTTCTGGACAGGGCCAACCCCCACCCCCCCCCCCCACCCCCCCATCCCGCACAATATATTCAACCCTTATTTGACATTTTTTTCACAATTTATATTTAGTATACTTATTCATCATGTTTGCAATAGGAACAAATCATCAAAACCACAAAATAATCGCTCCTCAAGAAAATACCCCATTATACATTATAAGAGAGAAAGTCTCTCTTATAATGTATAGTGGGGTAATTTATTCTTAAGAGGTTTAATACAATTTTATAAGCATTTTATTAAAATTCTATATATATTTATGGGAAAATAAACATGTCATTAAGAGTTATCTCTCTTATCAGAGTATCGATGAACCTTAAATGTACACAGTGAAGTGAATAAAATAATATAAAATAATATTACCTCCCACCTTTAAGTTTTAGGACACATATACATGTATAATAAATCTTAAGATATCGCGGTGAAGACAATCGGCTCATCCTCATGCACCATATAGATCGAGAGAGCACAATTATTACGTATATAGCTACTGCATTGTAAGGATCTGATCTGATTTATTCATTATTTACAGGTCAACAAGGCGTCATCAAGTCCCACCGGATGTGGTCATTCTGTATCAAATCGGCAGAGGTCCATTTGCACCAAGTGTCTCCCCCTTTCCTTTAAAATTGGAGACGTTTTTACGGATGACGAAAACTCCATACGTTGTGAGTATATGTGCAGATTGAGAAGGGAAGGGGGTCAGAGTTCTTAAATTTCTAAGTAAAGTAACAAAACAATGACCATGATGACCTTAGATCTTTGAATTTCTGATTGACAATATCTATTTAGATTTTGGAGATCGAAAATTAAACTATAGGTACACGACTATAATAGTCGTTTACTAGGTTATTTTAATTTTCAAATAAAAATAATTAAACGACATAATAATAAACACACGACAGAGTCTGAGACATCTATTTCATATCCGGATACTTTGCTAGCAAAAAAGTCATTGTTTTACCTTTGAAAATTTGTTCCTATTCAAAATTTTACGAAAAAAGTCTTAACAGTTCTAATGTTTTGCTGAGCGGGCATAAAAAATCGATGTTGGACTGCTGAATGAGATGTTGGACTGGTCGATGAGATGTTTGACCGCTTACGTCACAGAATGGGCGGAGCTTAATCTCATTTTCATTCGTTGTTGTTAACAATTAACGGAACTGAGATTACATCACGGAAGAGAGTACAAAATACATGTATGTAAAAAAAAAATTAGAATGAAAGGTATAACAAAACATTTATTGACTGAGTTCGAGGGCAACATGCGTTTTGTCGGACCCAAGAACCAAATTGTCTGCCTGAGGCCGTTATACGAATGTATAATTTCAACCTAAAAACGACACTAGTCTTGAGGATAAATTTTATGGCTTCAACTTTTCCTCTTTATTCATATGTAGCAAATTACTACATGTAGTAGTATAAATACCATCATCACCTCATCACCTCCATAAGAAGCTTGCCGTTATCATGGTTAATTGTGACTGTCTCCCATTTGAATCGAAATACAAGAACATCCCCTAGATACGAACAATTTCCTAATCAAAATAAAACAAGTTATAGACAAATAAGTTGATGAAAACAACAGTCTCGTTTAACATCATCAATACGTCAATCATATGGTCAATACAATGGTCTAGTTAGCAGATGAAATCTATCGTCAAGTCGAACGTTGACTGACGTTTTTCTATGAATTGTTAGCTCATTTTTCCACAATGATTTTTCTGTGAATCTTTTACCGTAAATCTATCAAGGAGCACAAGGGATTGGACCGCCTTCGCCTCCTTCGGGGCATCTGATCCCAACTCTGATGTTTTTTAGAGATCCGCGTCTGCTCTGGAATCTTCACAATGTCGAGGTTTGTGATAATTCATACCTCTTCACAAAGCCTTGACAAAAGTTGGGTTTGTGGTTTTACATGACGCAAGGTTAATTATTATTAACAAATAACAATCATTAAGAGTATTTTGAAGATCATTAAATTTTTGCGATACCATATTTTCGTGATATGGTTATTGACTCTTGAGACACATGGTTTACGAACTGTTGTTACTATATATAATCTGAAGGAATGTTATTAATTGTAGGCGAGAATTAAATTTTCATGAGCACACTGTCTCGCGTAATTACACGAAAATAAAGTTCTTGCAAATAAAAAAGATTTACTAGTAAATACAAAATTTAGTTGTCACATTGTAAATTTTGTATTTACTCCCACCCGGTAAATACAAAATTTACAACATGACACTTTTATAAACCAATCTCCGATATTTCATTGGAGGTATTACTATACATGTAGTAACAAATCCTACAAAATGGGTACTTTATATTTTCCCTAAACTTTCCTGCAGGAAAGCCCGTTTTCTTATTTGTTTCAGTCGTAGACCGGGAACAAATAAAACAGTAGCTTCCTGGCCCGACTTTTTAAAAGCGATTTTTTTCAAGGATTTGTGTAGAAGACCAGTGTCATAAAACCTTGACATTGGTCATGTTGGTAAGATGTCACGTGCAGCCTGTGATTACCGTTTATGATGATGGCATAGATACAAAAAAATTTAGTAAGAAAAGGATGAAAGGCACGCAGGAGATTTCAAATTATTTTAAGCCTATTCCAGTGCGGGTTTTTTAGGGTGAGTGGAGGTGGGGAGAGGAGGGTACATGTACGTTGGCGAAATCGACCAAAACCTCGATCATAATTTAAAGCTAATAATAAAGAATTATGAGTAATCTATCAAATAGGTTTATACTTAATGTCTAAACTAGAAAAGGACTTTTCAGTTCAGTTTAAATTTTACCACAGTCAAAGACGAAATTCTGATAATGATTGCTGAATAAATTCTTGTTTGGAAAAGAAACTTGAATATCGCTATATACAATGAAAAGTATACTTATACATGAACGTGAATATAAAATACCTTAATTAAAGTAATACGTGCATAAAATTGTTGTGAATTAATCTCTCTATATAACACATGCATATATTTTTTTACTACATGTATATATTTTAGAGTAGCAAAAGCTTTTTAAAAAATTACGCTGTCACATAACTGTGAATTTATTGTTGTTTCAGAGGAAATTTTTTTTATGTTCACACTAACAACAACTTCAACATGTGTGATGAAAGTTATTCACCGCTACAATGCAATCCAATTTTACCCTTTTTTGTACAAGCATATACAATAAACTAAGCCGGGTTAGTATGCGTGACACCACATTTTATTAAAGTGTGACTTTTTCTTTAGAACATCAGGCTTCAGCTGGATAACAATCTTATAATGCTAAAATCGATTTCAATTCATTTGACGGATTTGTTGTTGTTTTTTTTTTACATCGAAAGGCAAAAACATGCTATACTATATTCGCACTCTTTCTGCTTTACATTGCGATTGTTTCGCGCTATACTGGTTTTAGTATCGCAGTAATTTCGTGTTTCGTGAAAAGTTCGCGTAAATTGACAAAACTTCGCGTTAAAACACGAAAAAAAATATTTATTTACGTTATCAAATTGAGCCCAATAAGCTTTCGTAGAAGTAAAAAGAAAAACATTAATATGCCTTGGGGATTTAAATGCATGATTTGAAACTTAAAATATACATGTCATTTACAATACATAATTCAAGCAACTTTAAACTTAAGGCTAAAAGGGGGGGGGGGGGATAAATCTTCAATTAATATAACCTACGCTAGACACGAATTCTACGAAACAGACTCACTTGAAATTTTATTATGGCAATTCAGTTTTTTTAGTCACCCATTTTCTTAATTAATAGAGATAACGGTATAGTAGGATGCTGGCGTTATGCAACCAGATGTTTCACAAATAATGTCATAAGATCAAGAACCACAAACGTTGGGAAAATCTATATTTAGTTTGGTGGTGGGGGAAAATCAATCGTTTGTGACAGGGAGAAAATGAAAACAGATAAATATATCAGGAAATCTACGTCGGGGAATCCCTTGGGTACAATATATATATAGGGAACGTGGATGCTAAAATGTACTCGAGTTAACTGATTTTGTTTTATTTATGGTCTTTCTCTTTGCTGAGTGTAGTTCATCAGTACTGTACATCTGAATTACATGTATTATAAGTGTAAATATCACTGAAAATTCTAAGAACATGTTCTTTTCTTTATTGAAAGATAAAACAACTGACATGTTAAGAATATTGAATCAGAAATTTTTACTTGAAATTAACATTTTCAGAAAATTTACAAATTTATATTTAAATCGATATTTTCTCAACTGCACATACATGTACATGTACTGTACTATGTAAAAAAAAAAAAAAAAAAAAACAATGCAAAAGATTTCCTTAATTATAAAAGATTTCCCAAATTATAAAGAAACATGCATTTTGGAAACGTTGTTTGAAATTATCTAGGCTAGTTTTTTGATGATTACGAGGATGCGCACGACAAGGTTAATCGATTTCTTCATGAATGCTTATTTGTAGAACGATCACTCGGGAAAGTTTTCCTCCAAAAGAAAAACACCTTGGATAGAGTATGACGGGAAATCTATAGCTGATTCCCAGTTCTGCATTGATTATATAAAGAAAAAAAGAGGCGTGGACGTTAATGACGACCTGCCTCCCTCAGATCGAGCAGTGGCCAGGGCGTTTCAAAAGATGACGGAAGAAAATCTATATTGGTAAAATGTCTTTTATTTCTATATAATAAGCTCATTCAGAGAATCTGTGTCCTTCAGGAAAAAAGAGAGCAAGCGCGGATCTAGAAGGATCAAAAGGAGGGGAAGCTTTAGGAGGGCCAGGCGAGGCAATATGGAGTTATGGTTTAAAAAATTTCAACGCAAAAGATCATAAACTTTTCGAAATATCGCCCGAAAATAAAAGTTTAACACACAGACAGAATATATGAATTTACGACCTTGAACTTTGAACGTTTGACCTCAAAATCAATAGGTTCTTCCTTGGACCATAGAGAGTTTTGGTATAAAAATTTCACTGCAAAATCTCATAGGCTTCTTCGCTCGGAAAATGTTAATACAGAGAGAATTTTATGAATTCAACGACCTTGACCTCAGGGGGGCTATTTGAATTTCACACTTTAATTCTTATTAATAGTAAAAATTTGAACATTTTTTTAATTGGTCTCCAGTTAAATGCGACAAGGCAGGGTTTTTTTTTTTATTTCCGTCTTGTTGAACGAACACACGTAATAGCAGCCATTTTTTCTGTTTTGTCAAAAATGATTTAAATCTGTCTGACGCAAGTACATGTATTTGTTACAGCAAAATGGACAAAATGTACATATTAACAGCTAATTTCATAATTATTTACTGACGTATTCTAAATCCCGCTTGTTTTAAATGAGATCTTATGCAATTAAGTAAGGGCTGTGATGAGCAGTGTGGCCCATGGGCCTCTTGCTTAGTTCTTACCCGCTATATTTGCGCTTCACATTGGATGAGTTTACCATGCAATCAAAAGAGTTGAGAGGTCTTAAAACTCCTTTTTAAGGAGGATGGGTAAATAATTATACTGACATATGATAGAGCAGCGGGCCATTTGTGTAATCCACTATAATTCTCACGTAGTTTACATGTATGTCGGTCATTATAGAAGTAAGCGACAAAGCACAACCATGGAATGTAAATGATACATAATGAGATTCTACAATGTTACAGGACGATGTGCATTGAAATGTTCGGCGAGGACACATCAACAGTAGAGAAGGTTATACCGTACAAAGGGCTGAAACTCTGGCTCACCATTTGGTTCCTCAAGCGCGTCATCAAGAAAGAGACGTGGGGCCATGGTATAGGCCGACACACCCCGGACGAGGTCTGGTCCATAGCTGTGGATGACATGACTGCAATATCTAACTTTCTTGGTAATATATAAAGAATTAAAATTTGAAAATTTCTCTTTTCTAAAACATGGGCTTGTTAAAAGTCGTTATATAATTACATAATTTAACATTATTATAAAGATAAATTGTGTGGATTTTATTTTCATTTCAGGGGACAAAGAGTTTTTCATGGGATCAGAGCCCAGCGAAGTAGACTGCGCGATGTTTGGAATGTTAACCATGATAATATTGAACATGCCGAACTCAAAACACGATAGATATGTAAGAGGTGGGTAAAAAGTTATTGTCCCCTGCTGAAAGTAGGTGATATTTGAAAAGCTTCTTGTGATATCACCCGGAAATGAAAGATTTACATGCACTCCGAATGCATGAGGTTACGGCCTTGACCTTTGAACTTTTAACCTCAAAATAAATATGGATCCTTCTTAGGTCATGGGGAGCTGTGGTAAAATTTCACTGCAATGGCCTCTCGCAAATATCGCGCAGAAATGAAAGTGTTTAAACAGACAAAATTTATGAATTTATGACTTTGACCCTTGATTGTTTGACCTCAAAATAAGTAGGGGCTTAGCTTTCCAAGGTCAAAGAGAGTTGTTTTGTAAAATGTCTGCATTTAAAAAGTTCTCGAGATATCTTGCAGAAACGAAAGTCTGACAGACAGACAGACAGACGGATGACAGACAGACCTAAATTAATATCCCTTACCTTCATTGAAAGCAGGTGACAAAAATATGCTAGATTTTCTGAATTACTACCTAGATATATGTGTGCAGTCTCTGGAGACCATGTCAGCAAAAATTTTGATGGAATTCCAATGGGTATTGATTGTACTCCTTTATTGGTTGATCTGTATTTTTGTCTCATAAACAGGGCTTATTTGTTAAAAAAAAAACCTCTTGATAGTAGAACAATACTGCTGTTGCCTTCCATTCCTTTTTTTGGTTGGTTGTATGTTATTTTACGTCTCATTCAAGAATATTTCACTCACAGACGTTAATGTACCTGCCAGTGTATAGTTTCAAATTAAGACCCATAAATCAGAACTCAGGGCTATTATGTACTTAGGGCTTTTTCATCATACCAACTCTAAACCGTTTTATGGGACCTTGGTTTTTGATTGTTTTCACGACTTTTTCTGCAGATACAGGCTATCGTACGCGTCGTCTCGTATTTTTCAATAGCATAGGCGCTTGGGTCAAGGATACTGTATTTTTTCTATATAATGTATTGTCGAGGAAATTCGAACTATACTCTTAACAATTTTTTTCAGTGTGCAGTGTTAATTTTTAGTTTTTTTGCAAACCTTTCTGCTTCATATACACTAGAATGTCACGGAAATTCGGTTTTATGCACGCTTTAAAAATGACATATCCCACTGTAATACTAAAAAGAAACAAGGCTCAGCCTTGCAACTTCATTTGCCCCTTTCCGTGCCCCAGACTCGATTTTTTCCTTCTAAAAGTTATATGCGCCGCTTACCAGCTGAATTACGAATCCCCATCTCTGCAAATAATTCTTATACAATGATAAAAATCCTCAGGTATAAACTTTTCATCCATCTTATATTTTTAAATAATTATTTTCGGCATTTTCGCTCGTTTAATTCTTGTAATCACGGAAGTCCCCGGAATTACAACGTCCAAAACCCAAAACGGTCGGACAGAAAATTCTTTGACAGCTCTAAAAATCGCAGGGATCAGAGTATTTGCCGATTTAAACTGTCTAAAACTTCTTACCTAATCACTGACAATATGATATTATTAACTTGTATCACTTACCAAAGGAAATTAAACTTCAATATGTAGAAGGAAAGGGGGGGTGAGTCTCGTCCACTTGTTCAAAAGTGTGTATTAATCGAAATCAATAATTGCGTGAAAACTTAAACGAGCAAAAAAAAAATCAAATGAAGAAATTTAAAAAAAAAAAACAAAAGAAAGAGAAGAAAGAAAGAAAGAAAAGCTGTTTAAACTTAAAACTGTATTTCATGAGAAAGGTGTGGGAAGTTCCATAAATATTTCATGGGCATAAACTCTCTCTCTCTTTCTCTCTCTCTCTCTCTCTCTCTCTCTCTCTCTCTCTCTCTCTCTCTCTCTCTCTCTCGAAAAGATAAAATAACCATTTGGCACCAAAGTGTAAAACGTGTGAAGGGTAGAAGGTGATGGGGATAACTTTCGTTACGATGAAAGAAATATACTGAGGTAGGGGACAATGTATATGTAGATGCCAACTTAAATCCCCCCCCCCCCCTCCTTTCCATGCGTAAAGGATTTTGATTAAGCAACGAATTCTGGCGTTACTGATATGTGTTTTGAGCTGCATATTCAAAACTAGATTTTTTGTATTTTTTTGGTAAAAATATTTTTATGCAATCAGATAAATTGTTTAATAAGTTTCAGCTGGTAAATATATTCTGGCTGCAGGCATATACACACCTTTCGCGTCTTTCAGATCAAGTTTGGTCACCTGTAGTTATAGTAAAGAAAAACATGCAGTTGTTGTACAAATAAAATAGCCGAAATGTTTAATATATTCTTAAATTTATCTAATAACGTTTCGCCTAAAATACAAGTGTTTTAGATAAGGTATAACCCCCCCCCCCCCCTTCTGTCTATATATTAAAGTTTAATTTCCTTTGATAAATGATACCGGTTAATAATATCATGTTGTCAGTGATTAGGTAAGAAGTTTTAGACAGTTTAAATCGGCAAATACTCTGATCCCTGCGATTTTTAGAGCTTTCAAAGAATTTTCTGTCCGACCGTTTTGAGTTTTGGACGTTGTAATTCCGGGGACTTCCGTGATTACAAGAATTAAACGAGCGAAAATGCCGAAAATAATTATTTAAAAATATAAGATGGATGAAAAGTTTATACCTGAGGATTTTTATTATTGTATACGAATTATTTGCAGTGATGGGGATTCGTAATTCAGCTGGTAAGCGGCGCATATAACTTTTAAAAGGAAAAAATCGAGTCTGGGGCACGGAAAGGGGCAAATGAAGTTGCAAGCCTTGTTTCTTTTTAGTATACAGTGGGATATGTCATTTCTAAAGCGCGCATAAAATCGAGTTTTCGTGACATTCTAGAGTATATAAAGCAGAAAGGTTTACAAAAAACTTAAAATTAACACTGCACATTGAAAAAAAATACGAGTATAGTTCAAATTTCTTCGCAATACATTATATAGAAAAAATACAGTATCCTTGACCCAAGCGCCTATGCTCGTAATGGTTATTTGTCATCACATTTTTTTCATTCTACTCACTAACTTGTGAGATAAGACAAACTGCTAATTAATGTACTTTGTCAGTATTGAAAGCTATTATAGAGTGTATAACAGGCTGCTCTTCGTGAGAATCGTTATCGAAAATCATAATTCACTGTATACAAAGGGAACAAGGCATATCTACGGTTGGTTACCTTACGCGATAGGGGAGGCTATATATATGCCGGAGTACTTGCGTTAGGAAAGAGCAACGGTTCGGAATAAATTATATCCGCGAAAAAGGGCAATTTATAGGTTACAGCCTTTATATATGTGTTTAAAAATATGTTTTATGCCAGTGTTTCTGCAAATAAACTTTTATTTTCTGTATGACTCTTACTATCCACATACACTTTGGGTCGTGGATATTAGCCTGCGTACATATGGAATATCCCCGTCCCTTACATAAATGTTGAATACAGATGTTATTTTTTTTCTTTCAGAAAATTTACCAAACATAGTTCGTTACTGTGAACGGATGAAACAACGATTTTGGCCTGATTGGGAAAGTCACATTCTAACAAGCAGCAAGTACGAAAATGATGACGGGAAAATTTATTTCAATTCACCAGAAGAAAGATCCTAAATATAGCTTTAAATCCTAAACATACACTGCTTTAGGTATTGTATTGGAAATTCAACCACAAACGTTTTCGTAATATGGAAACCCAAATATTGTAAAGTCCATGCGCAAGTAACATGAACTAAAATTTTTGAGTCCAGAAGTTACCATTTGAACGAAGGTTGTATATGTTTGAGGTTTTACTGTACTTTAACATTTTACAATTTTTCATTGTAAATATTGTTAAATGTACTAAAATCATTGATCATGTTGTGATTCGTTTTTCATAAAGCTCATATGAGCTTTTGCCCCAGAATCAATTTTTCCGGACGGCCTGGTGGGATTTGTCCGGTGTTATTTGCTTCCATTTTATTTTTGTTCAGAACAGAAAAACTCAAAGCAAGCGAACTTGACTCAAAGCATCTTTCAATAAAAGGTTTATTTACAATTTTGCATATACAATAAAATTCTTTACTTCTTCGAAACGGTGAAAATAATTTTGATCACTTAAACTTTTTTGAATGACGATTGAAAACTTTTTAATTTCCAACAATTTTTATAATTCAAATGATACTATAGAAATATTTAAATTATAGTATTGTTAAGGTTTTTTTCATAAGTATATGGAAAAAAAGTGTATGGTATTTTTTCTCAAGAATAAGATATCTAAAATTGCGCAGTCCAGAGTTAATATTGAGTAAACAGAATATACAGTAAGCTGACCATGGTACTGTAAATAAAAAAATAAATAAAATCTACAACTTGACAATATTGTTATTGTCAAATACTTTGTTACGAAGGCCCCAAGTACTGTGTACTTGTACTATTTATAAAGATCGTTTAGGTGGTTTTAACAAAAATGGTTTATGAATATATGTAAACAAATTAAATTGACTCGATTATAAGCATTGTGTTTGTTTTATTTTTTTCATGAATTTTTCACCTATAATTGAGACGCAACCTTGCTTTTTGAGTGCAGCAAATTTTGACCTGTACTCGGTCTTTATTAAGTATAAGGAATATTTTACGTGCAAGTACCTACTGCGACTTGGATCAGGGATCTCGACTTTTACGGTCTTATCAAAAGGACCCGTCTTCATGTCCTGCCGTGGGATTCGAACACGCCACCTAAGGATAAACTTCTTACTCCGTGACTCTAATGCTTACCACTTTGCCTCGTGTGTGGGCGACCAGTAAGAGTTATGACCTAAAAGTATAACGTCCCTCTTGAGAATTTTTCACTCATATGGAGACGCCACCACTTGCCGGTGGAGGGCTAAAAATTTTGTCCTAAACTCGGCACTTAGGGCCATTGAGCGGGGAGGGATCCGTTTCGTGCCAGCACCTACTGCGACACGGGACCTCGGTTTATACGGTCTCATCCGAAGGACCAGTCTCCACGTCCCAGTGGGATTCGAACCCTCGAGGACCAAGTGATAGTAATAGTGTAAGAAGTATACATGTTAAATAATTTTTAATAAATTGCAAATATCAGCAACAGTCATCATTCAAGGCCGCGGATGAAAAAAGTCTTACCCATGGAAAACTAAGTGCAACATAGAAACTCTGTAAAATGTGGGTTTTTTTCATTCCGCCATGGCAGGGATCTTCTGCCATGACGCGTACAAAATTGTAACATTGTAATAGTGGACATGTACTTAACCTCGATTTACATCACCGGGTTATTTTTTATTTTACAGCTTGTAATACAAAAATATATTGAATTTCTCTTTTTCTCCTCATAAATGAGACATTTACTACAATTTCTAGTATTTTGAAATTGGTTTGCCAGCAATGTTTCATTTGGGAATATTTTCAGAAAAATAAATGTTGCCATGGTCATCGGTAAACTTATCGCTGGCCGTGGTCAAGTTGTCCCAGTCTGGCCAGTAGGTTGACTTCATTCTATCGAAATAACTCACAAGATTGGGGTGGTTCTCTAGAAATTAACAAAAGTTATAATTAAGGTTATCCAATCCTCAGGTTCTGAAAATTAATTAATAATTAATACATGTATTAATATTGTTTTTTATAAAGTTTGCAATTGACATTTCAAATCTAGATATAGAAAAAATTCCAGGACAGTGATTTTCTGTTATATCCTACCTTTGGTAAATGTTTCATATCTTGTCCCCTGCATGCTAACCAGAAGAAATGTCAGCATTCCGAATAGAGAGCAGTCTATTTCACTGGGGGCGTCTCCCATGAAGAATTTCTTATCACCTGAAGAAATACGGAATACAAAATAATTCTAGCAGAATTAAAAAAAAATTATGTATCATTCATATTACTTCATAAAATACAGAATTCCTACATGTATCTTTACCCCGCACAAAAAATGTAATTAAGAGAAAACCTAAGACGTACTGTGCTATGTACGTTTATACACTAATTAGCATGTTCTCGAAGTGATGTATACCAATTTTCAAAAACTCAACAAAACTTTTAGAAAATTTTATTCACATTTTTTTTTAAGTCAGTAACATCAAAACTTACGACTTTTCTACGCTTTCCCCCCCCCCCCCCCCTACTTTCTTCACGAAAAATTTAAAACTTATCAGCTTTGGAATGTAACAGACAACTACGTTTTCAAAATGAAACTGGAATTTTTATAAGATGAGATTGCTCACCAACAAAAATTACTTCGCTAAAAATTACTCTGATTCTACAGATAAGTACTCTGAAGTTAATAAGTTTAGAAGTCTTTGATAAGATTTATATAGTCTTGGAGATCGGGTACAATTATGTCTTTTGATAATCTGTTGCAATTTCGATGGACATTTACCAAACATTTATTTGTCGACTTGTATTTTGATTCCCTTGAAGCAAAATTTCATAATTCAAAAACTTCCATATTAAAAAAAAGTACTTGCTGTGGCCTTTAATTTGACATTCAAATATATAGACGACGTGGTATTTCTTACAGTCATATATTGACATATTTTCCAAAAATGGTGTTGGAATACAACTGTACTGGAGTCTACCACATCTGTTTCATATTTGAATGTTTGACTGATTATTGATAATAAGGGCTAACTAACAATTCGTATAACAAACCGTTTTCCATTGTCAACTTACTATATTTATGTAGTAATATGTCGCTATCACCTATATGATATATTGTGTTTATATGTATCCCAGATTATCCAATACGCAAGAATAATATCCTCTGAGTAAGATTTTAAACCGAAACAAGCTACTGACAGATAAGTTAATGCTACAGGGAGTTCAACAGTTGATTTATTACAATAAAATTTCATATTTTAAAGAGATTAAAAGCCTAAATACCTACCCAGATAGTTAGACAGAGCCTCAATATCAGCTTGACCTATGCCCCAGACTTCCTCCACACTATGGCGTCCAATGCCGTGTCCCCAGGTGGCGTTTTTTATGGCACGTCTTACAAACCAATAATACAGCCAAAAGCCAAATCCCTTAACTGGTGCTGAACTTTTCAACACTGGTATGTTGTCTTTATTACAGAACAGTTCGATACATAGCGTCCTGAAATGTAAAACAGACTGTGGTCATTACAGTTAAAGGAAAACTTTTGATTACATACATGTACATGTATCTTAAATATTTGGAACCAAGATGGTTTAGAAAATCTACTTGTTACATTTTTTAAAGAAAATGAATTGTTTATTTTAAAACTTTGTGTAGTATAAATGTAGCTTTTTTAATTTCCAACCAAAATCTTTAATAATTAATATTACTCTTAAGGCGTTGGAACCAGGGAGGCGGAGGGGGCTAGGCGGGACTTAGCCCCCACTTTATTTATTCATTTTTTTTTTTTGCAAAGTACCCATAACATAGGCAATGAACATTGGAGCGTAGATATATAGTCCCCCCTTCCAACTTTCAACAGGCACGTCGCAGTTTAGGTCAAGAAAAGATTATGTGGTATAGTGTTTGGGAAAAAATTGTTTTGTTACGTTGCCGATATCTACTGTCCAAACTCAGTTCATGAAGGAGGGAGAGTATATAAAAATAATATATGCTCATCAATATTTATAAATTTCAGTCGGGGGGGGGGGGGCGTTTGGAAAGGGTACATATACTTAGGCAGTCATAACAGTAAAATTTTTCTTCAATCAGTTTAAAGAACGCCCTGGCAACGCTTTTCTTCTGGGAACATAGTTCTGTATTCAGGTCGATGCCGTTTTTCTTTTTCAGGAAATCTATACAGAACTGGGAATCCGCAACTTCTGTGTCATTGAATTTGATCCATGGTGTTTTACCTTTCTTGGACATTCTCCCGCTGTGGTCATTCTAAAAAGGTTTTAGAAATTAATATATTCTTACGTACTTTTTAAATGTATGGATATATCAACGAAAATAATTAAATTTCATCTCGATCGAGATGGATAACTGTTACAAACCTCAGGCATGGCTGGTATACTATATGCAATGTATCTTTAACTTCTGGTATAAATAATATCAAATCTTTATATACAAATATATAACCTGCTTTTTGACAGAGTGTCATGATGATAGTAAAGTAAAAGGCCATTTTTCCTGTTTGACAAGATTTTGTCGCAGGTTGTATAGATCTGCGCCACTATTACAACTATAGTTTAGAATATAACTAAATTACAAAAAATAACAATGGTTTATATTATATAAAAGCACCCACCATATATGGCGTTTTAGTCATGCGTAGAAACGTCTCAAGTTTCATTGGGAATGGCGACTTGCTGGGAACCATCAACCCTCTTCCAAAGAAGTGATGGACCACCACCACATTTGTAGGAACTGTCAGAAACTTTTTCCTGCGAAAAAATGTTTCATTCCTTTCAATTAATCCATTGTTGGAAACCCACGGTCAATCTTCTCGCATATACACGAAATGTAACATCAAGGCAAATGTAATACAAATGTAATACTTAGTAAATCGGGATTATTACATTTTACGTTTTTAAATTTTGCGTCGAGATCAACAAAGAATGTAATCATGAAAAATGTAAGAATATAAACATACTTTTTGTTATTATTACATTTTACGTTATTACATTTTACGTCGAGGTCAACACAAAATGTAATAATCTAAAAATAACGTCATTACATTTTGCGATTTTACATTCAGCGTTGATCTCGACGCAAGATGTAATAACGCAAAATGTAATAATCCCATGCAGTTAATTACATTTTGCGTTGTTATTACATTCCGCGTTTAATTTTAACAAAGCTATGCTTATTGACCGGGTGATGATTAAAAGACGAGGACATCTCTGGGTATCCGACGATACTTTCAATCAAAATGGTGATATAATTTTGTTTTACAATCGTGCTTTAAAAACTCATAATGTGAGAATTTTCGCAATTCGAATTTTGTAAAAATGTGTGCCGAGAGACCTCGAACAATCTCCCAAGCACAGTTGCTCAATCCACAGAGCCTTCCCATCCCCCTTCCTTCATAATTGGTCCGTACCCCTAAGAGTTCTTTTTTACCTTTTTAAGTATCAGATGGTATAGGTTTTATATATATATATATATATATAAAAGGCTTGTTTTAGCTATAATGGATTTTCCAGTTGTTATACTCTGTGAATATGTCATGGAAAAATATTTCATTTAAAAAAGGTCAAATAACCAATCCTTGGGGTACGGAAGGGGGGGGGGGGGGGGGTCCGGGCCGTCCCCGGGCACCTGTGGAAATTAATAACGTTTTAACCCAGTTTGACTTCCATACTACGTATTTTATAAACACAAGACTTCTTTGTCCATGTAACAGAAGAATGCTTTCAACAATAATATCATTTAAATGTACATTCAAATATTACGACTTTATACATAACTTAATCTTAAAGAAATAATTTTTTAAAACGTTTTTAATCCAAAAATAACATTACTCTTATAAAGTTAAGTCAAGCATGAAATATCAAAATAAACATGGAAAGGCGGTCATAAATTTGTGAATAAACTATAGGCCTAGCAGTACAAGTTCAATGTAATTTTACCGTTTTCGAAGGAGACAACAGCACAGAACAAAACAAAGAAGAAGTGCGCATCCAGCCAAAGAAAGCCATGCTCCTTGTTTGAATTCCATCATACCGCAGAGCGTAAATTGCGTACATGAAAAGATGAGTCTGCCCGACTAGGTCAATGACCTCATCGGATTTTTTCTCTCTGAAAATTGTTTTGCGTCAGAAATTAGGTCATGACAATGTTGTTCATGGATCAATTGACAATACCTTTCAAATCAAAAATATTCAAGAGAATATTATACATGTACATGATGTAATACGTAATCTGTACTGCATGGAGACTACAGCATTTTATGAAATTTTAGGAGTGGGACCCTATGGAAGGGAATTACCGCCAAAAGTCTATGTCACCCCTACTAATGTGTTCGGAACCTTTTATTTTTCGGTTTTCTGCAAATTATAAAACCCGATGAGTTCAGAGTAGCTCTGGCAGTGGCTATGGCGAGAGTTAGCGAGACTTCAGCGAGATAGGGTAAATTATTCACGGAAATGTGGTTAGGAAGTGACTAGCACGTGAAGGCATGGTAAACAGAAAAGTTATGTTGCGTTTCAGTTTTCACGACCCTAAAATCAGCTGATAATATACTAGTATGTAGAAATGTACTTCAATCAATCGATCTCTTTTACATTCATCCAAACTTACATTTATTAAGTATTCTCTGTAATACAATTTTCTGCAGTCCTGAATTAAAATTTATTTTTGGACAAATATTTTTTGCATGGGAACCCGGACTATATTTTTTGGCGTCAATTTAGCAAATAAGGCACCAGCATGATTTTAACTGACCAATCAGCTGAATGAGTATTGCATTGTGGGTTACTACGAATACTACAGGAATTTTACGCTTGAAATAAAAAGAAAAATCTTATGGTAAATGAAAAGCATGTTTAAAAATATTGTCATGCTTATAATGACAAACAATTCATTTGTTAAATAAACCGCGGAAGTCTAGGCTTCTGAAAGTCACACTGCAAAAGCGATTTGCGTCTGTATTAATTCCTTTGTTGTACTATCGGTGAATACAATTGCCAGGTGAATTCACTGGCCGAACACGTGATCACGAACGTAAACAAAGTTTTGTCCATTTAAATGCATGAGATGCTGCTCGTTTTCCTTACCCTTGAAGCGCTGGTGTTCTAAACTAGACACAAACTACATTTTATTAAACATTTTTTTCTATTTAACAACAAATTAAAAACGCCCGTAACATATTTCAAAGTTTCTTATCTTTGTATTTTCTTCGTAAGAACATTTTTTTTTATTTTGCAGTCCATTAACATGATCGTAGATTGACCTGAACTACGTGTTCGAAGTAAAATGCAAACATGTACATGTATTTGGCGTAAACGTTGCTATTCATTCAACGATTGATCAGTTGCTCGTGGTAAGATCCTCTGTGCGCATTTATAACAATAGCCATATACGGCAAACAAAGGTTTGTCAGTGTAGATGATAATTCACATTTTTTTACCAGCGAATCGGTCACTAGTGAGCTTTAATTTTCGCCGAAAAGTATAAGATATATTGTTATTTTAACACCCCCTCCTTTAGCCACCCTTTGCCAGTTGAAAATCATGAAAGTCTTTCAGAAAGGTCTGGAAACATTTATTACAGGACATGTTTTCAAAAGAAACAGGCTATAGCAATATCATGTTTACTGCCAATTTTATTTATAAAACCGGTTCTACCCTATAACCTTTGAATAGATCAACCTAAACCACGTGTCTTGAATTTAAATCACAATAACATTAGTAGGGGTGTATGTATCTTGCTTTTATTCTTATTCTGCCTACTTCTTTATGCTTTGTTGTTATTGTAATTATATGTCACTTTGTTGTTTTCATATTCGTCTTAATTACATTTCACTTTGACTTTTATCCTTCTTCATTTTGCCTTTACTTCTATGTTGCTTTATTCTTGTAAATTCATTTTACTTTCTTTTAAATTGATACAGTTTCTTAAATGATTATAACTATTACGAACGTTAACTCAATCACGCAAACAATGAAGCATATTCAATGAAGACGAATACAAGTTGTCCGAATTTAGTGCCGCATTATTATAACGCTAGGTGGCAAGGGTGTTCGCTAAGAGTGTTGGTAAAATTAGGTAAGCAAACCCGTGCCGGGGTTATTCGAGATTTTTCAATTTTCTGCCTTAATACTTTATAAATCAAGCTTAAATTTTTTAAAGACTGATGTTTGTTATAAGTCCAGGTATGCACCCGATACATGCCATTCCCTCGGAAGTCTCGCTAGATGGTAAGATTTCCCCTGGAAGGCTGACTACATAGTGATGCTTTCCTCGGATGACTATACAGTGGGACTCCCCCCGGGGAAGTTTCAATATATAGCTAGTCTTCCGTGGGAAATTGCGCTATATATATCAATTCGCCCCCATTCCTAGCAACCCCTCCCCCGAATAGTTTTTTTTTTTTAAATCGTAAAACAAATCGTAAAACAATATTTATATATACTAACGTTTTCAGTTTTTGAAGAAAATTTATCTGTTCTATCAGGGACCTATATACTAGTATACACAGAGGCGTAGTCACAAACTTAAAAGTGGGGGGCTCAACTCCAGAAAAAAAAGAAAGAAAGTTCCCCAAACTCGAAAATTCTATTTCGTGGGGGGGAGGGTAGTGGCCAACTTTTTCAAAGGCAAGTTACTTTCAATTCCAATTTTTTTTTCCAAAATTCTTCGATATTACTATACTAGGGTCAAAAAGTGGGGGGGGGGGGCAACTATCCCTTCAATGAACATTTCCTATTGTAAAGAAAATATTGGGGAAAAATAGCTGTGATTTTGTTCTTCATTAAAAAGTGGGGGGCACAGACATATTCTTGCCCCCCCCCCGATCTGAAAGTGGGGGGGGGGGGGGGGGGGGCTAGTGCCCCCGCTGCCCCCCCCCCTGTGACTACGCCTATGAGTATACAGGTCCCTGGTTCTATATGAATAAATATTTCAATAATATCATTTTAATAGTATTTTATAATTAAATCATTTTAACCATTTAGTTAAACATAGATAATCTTCACGAGTACTAATGTCTCTTTCTCCCCCCCCCCTTGGATGCAGTCGCCCGCGTGGCACTGTGGTTTCGGCGTCTGCTCTATATAGAGTCACGAAGTTCAGTAGTAAGGAGTCGACCAATACGTCGTGGGTTCCAATCCCACAATAGGATGTGGAGTTCGGTCCTTCGGATGAGATCTAGACCGTATTATCCGAGGTCCCGTACGTTTTGCAGTAGGTGCTGGCACGAAAAAAGATCCCTCACTGCTCAATGGCTATAAGTGCCAAGTATATAGGACAAATTTGCAGCTCTCCACCGGCAAGAGGTGGCTTCTCCATTTGAGTGAAAAATTCTCGAAAAGGAAATTATACAATGTACAATCACCAAAGTCTCAATATATATACTGACTTCCGGGTGGACGACCTCCTATGGGGTAAGTTTCATCGGTAGAGGGGAGGGTGGCCACGAAACATTTTCCTAAACGTAACATTTTACTACTGGAAAAGTTCAGCGAAAGGCTTGTTGCCCCCCATCCCTTATCCCTTACACTTTTTGTTGCAGTACTAATAGTCAATTTATATATTAAAAGTCATGTACTTAGTGGCATTTGAGTAAAATTTATTACTGAAAAAAGTTGACGACCCCCCCCCCTTCACCACCACCAAATAGAATTTTCGAGTTTTAAGATTTTTTTTAGCTCTCCTGGTTGATGACAAACACGGTGCGTACTAAAGATATTTCTTTCTTTATTGAAAAGTGCAATTTTAATATAAAATATTAACGCAGAAAAAAAGACCGGGGTGTTTCTAGTATGCCTGGGTGCATGTACTGGGTCTGGTTCAGACTTCGCCTTCCATGCGCGGATCTAGAGGGGGTGGGGGGGTAGGATCCCTGGAATTAACAAGGTTACTAAAACAAAGAAAAAAAGCCCCCCCCCCCCCCCCCCCGAAATAGAATTTTGACGTTTGAGCGAGTTTATGTTTTTTCTACCTATTACATGTATTATGCTTGTCAAGAAATTTCTGGGATTGGATTTTCTTTTGACTTGGTTGCCCCCCCCCCCCCTGGAAAAAATTCTGGATCCGCGCCTGCCTACGAATAACGCTCCTAATTCCTTTGCAAAGCCCTGTCCCTAGAATCACCCGCATCAGCAGTTACTATCTGTCGTGAAATAAAGTTCATTTCAGTGGAAGGTTCTGAAAAACAATCCAATTTATAAGAGTTAACTAGTATCAAAATATTTAACATTTTTATAACAATTAAAATGTAATTCAAATATCCAACAAATAACTTTAGTAGATTATATTTTTCAGGCGAGAGAACAGAGACGTAGCATCGTGTTTGAAAATGGGGAGGGGGGCAACAAGAGAACAAATATTCAAGCTACCGACTGAAAACAACTTGACAAGCGCAAAATAAACCCCAGGAAATTTTCCAAACTTGAAAATACATAGGCGTCGGAACCGGGGATATGGGGGGGGGGGCGCTTAGCCCCCACTTCTTTCCAAAGATAAACTTAGTATAGATATTGAACATTCCTGGGTTTAGCCTCCCCCCACCCCCCCCCCCCCCACCCCCACACACACACTTGCCATGGACACGTTGCAGTAAAGGTTTAAAATGGGGAAAGTAGTGGTATTTGGAAAAAAAACTTCAAACCACCCCACCCCACCCCTTCTCACGAAATATGATTGTCAGGTGTTGTTTTTGAAGGTCTAAAAAAAATTCTTACACTTACCCCCCCCCCCCCCCCCCCTTTTCAATTATCTTCCGACGCCAATGAAATCCTATTTCGGGGGCGGGGTGGGTTTTGAGTTAGATTCAAATTTTTCTTTAGAATCAAATTTAAATTTTCTTCCTACTATACGTACTACATTTACTTATTTGACCCTTTCTCTTACAAAAAGTGGGTCGGCCTTTAAATGAAGATATTTAGTAAAGTATAAAGTTATGTCTGAAAAAAAGAAGCCGCTTTTCCTGTGTGCCCAGAGAAAATAAAGATGGAGTTTCCATCATTGCATCGGGAGATCGGGTCCGGCCTTCAGAAGTTCGATTGATAAAGTAGTAAGGCGTA